CTGCCTTTATTCACCCCCACCGCCCCAGAGCCTTACCTGTGCCATTCCTGGGGGGCCCCCGGGCCAGCCCCTCACCCAGCGGGACCTGCACACCCCCCATAAGGCCGTCCACATGCTCGGAGGGGCCATGGCCCGGCTGCTTCAGCAGGTCCGTCAGCGTCCTGGGGAGGGGGCGAAGGGCTATTAGGATGATACCCCACTCCCCCGGCCCCACCAATGCATCCCAGCTCTGAACCACCCTCTTCAGAGGCAGCCTGGGGCTAGGAAATGGCTGCTGGGAGCAAGGAGTGCACCCAGGCTCCCAACCCAGCTTTTGCAGGGGGGCTGGCGAGCCACCCCCCACAGTGAATTGAGGACTGGCTGGGGCTGCACCCTCCCTGGCTTGGGAGTGTCAGTGGGTGAGGGTGGCAAGGGAGACGCATGGCTCGGAACGGGCTGCAAGGGTACGACGAACTGAGCTGGAGGATGCTAAATTGATGGCAGCTGGAGCAACAGCTTGGGGATGCTCCCCCCGAGTGAAAGCCTGGAGGAGGGGGGGAGAGGAGGCGACACCTCCACTCGAGTCCCTTCAAAGTGGAGACCCCAAGGAAGGGATTAGAGAGGCCACTTGCACCTCTTCGGGGAGGACGATGAACTAGCAGCAGCCTCCGGTGCACGCACCGTCTGAGCACTACACCCTCCTTGTAAGGAACAGCATTAAACATTAAACACCATTACATAAGATAAAGCCCTGTTTCGTTTAACATTCATGGACCGAGATGCTGCAGTCCCACTCTGGCGCACCAGCAGTGCCAGAGCGGGACACACCAGTGATGCTGGAGCGGGACACACCAGCGGTGCTGGAGCAGGGCATGCCCACATGGCATTGTGGCCTTGGGCAGCAAGTCCTGGGGCAGGATGGGATGCTCCTGCTGGCGCAGGGCTTCGTGGGGAGGAGACCCACCATTCCCCCCCCTGCAGACACCAGCCCTGCATGACTGCAAGGGCACAGAGATGTGCACTCAGGGCTTTTTTTGGCTCCTCAATCCCCGGCTCATGGTCAGCACACCTCGCACCTTGAAGACTGGCTGGCTCATAGATGCACAGCGGGAGCTGCGGCAGGAGCTCATGGTTAGCAAGTGGCTGGACGATAAAACAGCAGATTAAACTCAACATGCATAAATGCAAATTGGAGAAGGAGGGGGGGAATAATCCTGACTTGGTAGATGTGTCAGCTCATGGCTCAGGAGCACTCAAAAGCTCAGCAAACCCGGTGCAGGGAATTGCCATGGAAGACAGCAAGGACAATGGGGAAAGCAATGCATTATGCCCAGGGGTGGATGCTTGGGGGGCCCAAGGACTGTTCCTGGGATATTTTCCCTTCCAGTTTGTGTCCTGTCAACATCACAGGGCAATGGCAAGAGCGAAGCTACAACGGAGGGTCGCTTGCCCTTTGGGTTCATTTCACATCATTCTTGGGTAGCTTTGGGTAACAACCCCCCACTTAATCTCCAAATGGGCCAAGAGGAGCCTCATGAAGCCAAACAGGGAAATGAGGGAGGAACAACTCCTGGCACCGATACGTACTGGGGGCTGCTGGAAGGCAGCTTGGCAGAAAAGGGTCTGGGGGTCCTGGTGGACACCAAGCTGACCATGAGCCAGCAATGTGTCTGTCCTTGGGGCAAAGGCGGCAAATGGTCTCCTGGCCTGCACTAGGCAAAGCATTGCCAGCAGGTACAAGGGAGGTGATCATTCCCCTCTGCTTAGCACTGGTGAGACCACACCTGGAATGCTGGGTCCAGCTCTGGGCTCCCCAGTACAGGAGAAACATGGATGTACTGGAGAGAGTCCAGAAGAGGGCCACAAAGATGATGAAGGAACTGGAGCATCTCTCCTATGAGGAGAGGCTGGGAGAGCTGGGACTGTTCAGCCTGGAGAAGAGAAGGCTCAGGAGGATCTTATCAATGTAGGTGAGCATCTGAAGGGAGGGTGCAATAAGGACAGCACCAGGCTGACAAGAGGTGATGGGTGCAAATTAAAACATGGGAAATTCTGTTGAAACAGAAGAAACAACCTTTTTTCCTGCGAGGGTGATCAAATGCTGGACCAGGCTGCCTGGGGAGACTGTGGCACCTCCAGCCTGGAGCTATTCAAACCCCACAGACCCCCCAGGAGACCTCCTGCAGTCAACTGACCCCAGCTCTGGGCCCAGCCAGGCTCCTCCTGGTGCTGCACCCATAGAAACACTGGGTGCAAGCCCAGGCAGGCAGTGGGCTGTGCCTGAGCAGGGCTGGGGTTGGAGCAGGTCCCCCAAGGCCATAGGCATGGGCTGTCAGGCCAGGGAGCTGCCGCCCCATCAGCACCCACCTTCCCCGGGGTGCATTGCTCCCTGGCCCCCTCCCCACGGGCCGCTGCCTGCTCTCCCGTGTCCCCCCCGGGGGGTGGGGGTGTGGGGTAGTGCTCAAACAGGCTTGTTTCACCAGGAAGTTCAATGTGATTTGACCTGTTTTTTTAATTTTTTTTTTTTCTCCCTCGGGTCTATTTATGAAGCTTGAGCAATCCTTTATCTGTGACTTTTCCTCTCCAGATAAATCCATCAGCGCTCTTTCTCATAAGCCTGCCCTCCGCGCCGACTGCCTGGGGTGCGGATGATAACAATTAACAATAACGGGGTGAGCAGCTCTTAACAAGTGATTTTGCTAAGGTGGGAAGCATGGACAAGCCCTCAGTGCCAGCAACACTCAGACTCACTCACCTCCTTCCCTTGCACCACGAGCCACGTCGCTGGCCGGGGATGCCGGCATGGCCCCCAGGGCTGCACCCCCCCTGCCTGTCCCCAGGTGGTATGGTGCAAGGGAGGTGGACCTGGAGGGTGACACTGTGCAGAGGAGCTGCTGTCTCACCGTACACGTTTTTGGGTGTTTTATGAGCTCCAGCCTGGTCCCGTGGCTGGGGGGGCTCAGGGGCTTGGGGAGGGTCAGACCACATCTCCCTAGGTTGCCTGGTGGTCTGTTGCACAGAGATGGCTCCAGGGTACAGATGGAGGTGGGGAACACAGGGTAGATGCAGCTTTAAACCTTCACTGATCAGCTGCAACAAAATACTAACGAGCAGCACCAGTGAGGTCTCCATCTACTATCATGGCCATGGATGCTGAACACACAGGGCCATGTGTGAAGGTCATTGGGGCAAGATCCTGCTCCCAGCTACCACCTAAGCACGGCCTCGCCGGCATGGGCAGGCAGCCAGCTCCACGGCAAGTCTGGTTGTGCCACTGGGTGCAACCAAGGTCCCCCAAACCAGCCTGGCATGAGCCCCAAGACCAAGCAAAGAAGCAAATCCGGGAGTGGTGACGACGGAGGCTGACAGCTCCATGGCAGGAGCTGGCACACAGCTCTCGGTGCTCCCAAGCCATCTCTGGGGGAGTCGCCGGTGCATGAAATGGAGGTGCCCGTGTGGGAGCGGGACCTAGGGCCTGGCAGAGAACCCCAGCCCGGGGGCTGACCCACTTTTGGGAGGCCCAAGCTCTATATCCAGCATGCCCAACAGGAGAGTGGCTGCAAGCCCTGGGCAAGGGGACAGGAAGCAATGGGAGGAGACAGGAGCGCAGCCGCCCAAGGAGAGGAGAGAAGAGATGATGGAGTGACAGGCGAAATGACATTGCCCCGAGCTGGAGTGAACCCTTGGAGGGGAAGCAGAAGGTGTCAGCCACTGGCCGAGCGGAGTGGTGTGGTTTGGAGCAGAGGCGCGGTGGTGAAGGAGACACGTGGCACGCTGGGGCTGCGGGTGTGCTGACACCCTGGCCAGGCATGTCGCCTCCACACCCAGGGAGAGTGTTGCCATTACCTCCTGGGGGGGACAGACATTTCCCATGGCCTACAGTGCATCTCCTCTGGGCAGGGGGTGCCCATCTGTGGAATTGAGCAGCGCAGGCACCGTGGGACACCCAATCGGCAGGGCTGGGACGCTCAGGGATGGTCAGGAAGGCTTGGGGGTAGCAAGGCGCCTTTGCTAAATGACATGCAGCGGGGGGAGATGGAGCTTGGGGAAAGCATTCGGCAGTGGGAGTGAGCCCGCCTGGCTGGACATTGCATCCAGTCTGGGACGGAGGTCCAGGTCTCCCTCCCTGGTGGAGCTGGGTCCCCTCTCTCGTCCCCCAGAGAGCCTGGGTGGCACATGGCGACTCGCTGTGCTGCCTGCAAGCACCTTTTCTAGGTCTTTGCTGCTGCGTGCTAATGTGGGCATCGACCACAGGCACGGCTGCGGACTGGGGCGATGCCAGAGAAACACCCGGCTCAGTCAGACACGCAGCAGGGACGAGTTTTGAGACCCCAAACAGCGCAGGGGGACCCAGAGAGTGAAAAGCCAGCAGGGGGTTTGGCTGCTGCGGCTGCCAGGCCATCTGCTCTCACTGGCTGTTTTGCCCCTCTCCAGCATCCCGCTGCCCCCAGGAGGCTGCTCCTCATCCAACTCTTCCCGTCGGAATGTTCACCCCAGCCACAACTTGCAATTCTCCCCTGGGAGGGTTTTGGGGAGAGGTCTGCTCTCATGCGATGGGCGCAGCCAGATTCCGGCGGCCAGCAGGGACCCGACGTCCCCGGAGATCCGGGGCCTGAAGAAAAACACGGGCAGGTGTTTCTGACTCAACGCGGGGTTTGGCCAGCCTGAGCGAGTGCCGGGGACGGGTGCCAAGTGTGAGCTGAGCAGGAAGGAGAGGGGTTTGTGGGAGCCGCCATAAGGCCTTGCGGGAGGAAGGCGGATGAGGAGGGGGGGACGCACACACCAGGTAGCTGCAGCCGCTTGGGCGCCCGCTCCCCTGGGTGAACCAGCAGCCAAAGCTGGGAGGAAAAGCCATGTTGGAGGTGGCCAAGGCATTGGAGTCGCAGGACAAGCTGGACAAGGGCTCAGGTGTCTGTGGCTGGGCGGAGCTGGTGGGGTTCCTATGCCTGGTCGCTCTTCCTGGGCTCGGACCCAGACCAGGACCATGACAAATGATGTCTGGAAGCGCAGAATTGGTTGACCTTCTCCCCTAAGTGGGAAGCCTGCAAGCAGCGGCAGTGGAAAGTGTCCCGGGGCAGCAGGCAGCGCTCCAAGGAGCGGAAAAACCCCGGCGGGAGGGAGGGATGGGGATGGAAACCAAGCCGGCCGCGCAACAGGGAGCTGGCCCAAGGCCATGATGCGGTGCCCGAGGAGCAAATGAGAAGCTCCTACCTGAGGCGCCGGGAGGGAGGCAAGGTGGCACTGCACATGCCTTGTGCCGCGTGTGGGTACAGGGGAGAGACAGCTAGAAATAGCCCCGCTCTCTCGGCAGTGCCGAGACGACATGTATTGCCCGGTCCAACCAGGCACACAGCAGGATGGAGGTGACAGCGTCCCTTTTCGGATGCCCGTGCCACATACCCAGCCCTGAGCACCACCTCCATCAGCCCAGCACCCAGGAGGCTGTGCCGGGCTGGTGCCTTGCCCGGTGCCCAGGGCTTCATACCCGATGCACCACTCCTGCCCTGCCTTGGCTCGCCAGGTGGCAAAGCTGCTCCCTGCCAGACATTGTCCCTGTGGAAATGGAGACGCTCACGGCTTACGCAGAAGGACACGGGGCACGGGAGAGACAGCGAGACCTTTCCTGGCTTCTGCAGTGATGGAGGTGCCCTTCTGATTTTGGCCCACAAAGGCAGGCGAGGAAAATTCGCCTTCTCCCCACCTGTATGCCAGTGCCTGAAAGATGGGTGGCTTCGGGGAGAAAAGGCACCCATCTCCCCAAACTCATTGGGAAAATTCAGACTTGCATGAGCAAGAGGGAGGGGGGACATTGGGTAACATGGCTCCGACGGCACAGAATTGATGCTACCCACAGAAAACAACCCCTGGTGAGTGGCAGTGGTCCTGCCAGTGGCTGGGGAAGGAAGAAGGCAAGACCCGCTGGCAGGGGATGAAGACCCGGGTCTGGGCTTCCCGGGGACTGAGCCGTCCCCAAGCACAGTATCTCCTTCCCAGGAGAGGGGGGAGGAGGACGACACACACACCAAAAAAAGACGCGTTGGCGGGGGAGTGGAAGGGGAGTGGGGAGGCAGGGAGGCTGGCGGAGGCCGTATTGATCCTGTCAAGGTGCCAGCGCTTCCTCGGGCGACATGGTGGGCAGGCGCAGGCACAGAGAAGCACCCAGCCAAGACGGGGGCTGCAGCATGGGCCCCCCCAAAACTGCCTTGCGTGGCTCAGGAAGGCACTGTGACCCCCATCCATGCTCAGATACAACCCTTCTCCAAGCAGGGGAGTCAGCCTCTGTTCCCCCCGAGTGGGTGCAAGGAGTGGGGTGGGTCTGGGAATGGGGTGCAGCGGGTCCAGAGTTGGGGTGCAGCACCCAGCGGCCACCCAAGAACCAGGCAGGCAGGGGGAGGCGGGCGCCCCGGGGGAAGGAGAGAGGGTGTCTGTGCTGGGGGGGGGTGCAATCAGGGCAGCTCCCTGATTGTCCCTGTGAAATCATTTCCTCCAGCCCTGCTTTTTTTTTTTTTTTTTTTTTTTTTTTTGGAAAGTAAAATACCTGATCAAAATGGCATATAAATGGGTTTATTGCCAGGCTCAACGTCCTCGCTGGGAGGACGCGAAGTGGAGCGTGCACACCGCTGCTCGGTGAGGTGCTGGATTCGGCTCAGCCCCCAGCCCCTTTTGGGCGCCATCTCCATCCCTCTCCCTTCGATTTGGGGCCACCATGGCACGACCACGGCATGACCACCTTGGTGAACCTGCCCCGGCTCCGCTCCTCTGTGTGTGTGTATGTGCCTGTGTGTGTGCGTGCACACGCGTGTGCACACGCATGCATTGCATGTGCGCCGGGGGGGGGAGGCCAAGGAGGGGACAGCTCTGAGTCAGAGCCGCAGGGGCAAAAGCTGCGCCGGGGAGGCTGGAGCTGCCGCCAGCCGCTCCGAAGTGTTAAACTCATTGAATGTGATTGGTATAAAAAAAATAAAAAAA